AAGAAACAAATTCACTTTCTGCGTAAAGCACACAGTACTGCAGGCCAGGGTATAGACAATATTGTGCCCAAACACCAGACACACAAATGTGAAAGAAAATTCACAAATTCAGCTCAGTTTCAAGCAATACAAGCAAGCAGTAGAAAATCAATATCAAAAATGAAACACAATGAAATCACCTTATTTCTAATTAACTGTAAAGGTTTTAAATCATCAAACATCTGCACATTTTTCCTGTCTGAGCTGAAAGTACATGGCGAGAGAAAGAAAGAGAAAGTGTCTTAGAAATCAGGAAATTGGTTGGCAAGTTTTAGAGTGTTTTAGAGACCATAGGGACAGGATTTTGTCAATACAGAAGCCCAGACTTCAGTAGGAGACTAAATAATGAACTGCCTGAGTGTGGGATTAAATCATGGAGTCTCTTACTTTACAGTTTCCTGCTAGTCTTAGGCATTTAACATTTGATCTGGGGATTTAAATTCATGCCTCTAATTTTAGTTACAGTGTCTGCATGTACATTTCTGCAGCTTGGATTCTGTCATAGATTTTTAAAATGTGTGATATGTTTTTTAGAAGTATTCATCCAAAAGATAGAATGAGACAGACAAAGAGAATTAGAGTCAAGCGCATCGGTTACCTTACAGAGACAGTACCTCAATGAGGATCTAGACAGTGTGCAAAGCAAACTTCCACTCATTCTATTAGCCAGTCAGCTAGCCATCAGACAGACAGCCGGCTAGACAGGGTGGTGTCTGTAAATAAAAGATGCTAGTGAGATGCCCTGCAGATGGTAATTTTCACTCTCACTGACAAATACCACTTCTGTGTCTGGCATCTCCCCTCCTGAGTGGAGATGAGTCACTGGAGTTTGGCTCCTGAGCAACCAGAACCCCAGCAAAGACCATTTTACACGCGCTGGCTGACTGCCGCAATTTCTCTTGAATGCGCCAGCCAAATGTGCAAGTCAGTGGGAAGAGGAAAGCCTCATCTCACCTTCTTTCTGAACTCATATAGATGTTTTTTCTGCTAGTAAACACCTTTTAAATTGGAGCTCCCAAATAACACAAAAGAATGAATATGTGTCCCATCAATAATTTGACATGTGGCTTCTTGGCCAACAGTTTGTGTGTTTGTGGTCAAGTTTTCGTTCCAAAAGCTATCCAGTTGTGTCTGTAGCAATATACTATAGTTTGAAATAGGCACAATACCCCTTTCTCATGGCAGGAAAATCACAGGTGTGACTAATAACATTAATGATGGTTTTATTCCATTTTGCTGTGCCAATAAGCAGAGCCAATGTGCCAACATGTATAATGCCAGAGGCCTGGCAGAGGCATACTGAAAAGAAATGCAGCTGCTATTAATTACACCTGTTTTTTTACAAGTAATAATGTCTGCACCCACTGGTTTTGTGCTTTGTAATACTTAGTACTAAGCCCGAATAAATGTACAGCAAAGGCTGATTGATTGTTTTTGCAGACAGAAAAGAGTGTTGCCTTGCGGCATTAGCTCATCAGATAATCTCTTTGCAGTTTTTGACATAATATTCCCAATATACAAGAAACTAGCATATACAAACAAGTGCAATTAAATTAAATAGGCAAACACGCTTCTGAGTGACTTTGATAAGTCGTTTCTCATACAGCTGAATGACTGAAGTAACGAAAAAAAAAACTCTAAACAGCATACAGCACGGCACATAACAAAGACATTGCTGTGAACCTGTTATTGCCAGAGAAAGCCAGTAATCATGTATAGAGGAGGCACAAACTCTTTGTAATTAGTGTCCAGCAGGTGCTGTCTTTAGAAAATTGCAAAGGTGGCTCGCTGTGTATTGGCTGCTGCAGAGATAATCCCAGAACACATTTGCCATCAAATGTCACAATACTCCAGCATCCTATTCTATTCTTTCCAGGTATTGTCGCCAAGCACAGTTGAGCTGCTCCTGAATAGATGTGTGACACCCTGTAGGGTGGAATGTAACAGGAACCTCAGCTTAGAGGAGGCCTTTGTAGCTCTGGGGATGAATTTAATTGTAGCGCATTCTGACTGGTTTGAGCTGTGAGCTGTTTCACAAAGAACTCAGAAGGAATGATGGTATGACATTTCATTTGGCTCAGCCTGAGATAAGTAATGGCAAGCTCAGAAAAAGCTTTGTATGGTTGAGGACCCAGCATTTAGTAATGATCCTTACAAAACAAAGTGTAAACAAGCTAAAGAAAAA